AGAACAGGCCGGCCGAAAACCGTAATTCATTTGTAACGTGCAACGTGTTTTGGGGTGGCCGTAAGGCCAAAACCAGTTTTTGGTAAAGCCACAGGCCCAGAGGCCTCGTTTGCCACCGACTCGGCTGCGAGGAGAGATCTACGAGCTGCGATAAAATGTTAAATGCTACACAGATTGATTTCGCCCAGCGTTTTCGCTGCGGCATTTTGAAATGAATTATGTAGTCGTATGCAAATCGGCTGAAATGCACAATCAAATTGAGTGCTGGCCGGCATTTGTCTCATCCGGCCGAATCTTAAACTCAATTTGTTTTCAAATTTAAATAACTAATTTGAATGGCGAGCTTTCGGCACCGAAACGAACTTGGTTAAATTTTCATGTCGACAAAAATACAATAATGTATTTTCGACAAAGCTTTAATAGTACTTATAAATACTTTAGCCTTTTCAGTTTGTTAAACATAGGCTTTTTGTTATCATCAAGCCGTAGCAGGTGTTCATGAATTTATTTATATCCTTTTGTAAAGTTTTAAAAGTAAACAGAAGCCGGTCATAAGTTGAATGACATTTGCGACTCTGAATGCCTGCAATAAGGGAGTACTACTAATTATCGACTGAAATGCATAATGCTTTGTGCCGTATGCGTTTCCTACAATTATATTTATCCTGAACCAATGGTTATAAACTGAATACCCAACTTAATTACATGCCGGACCATCTCTGGTATTGAAGGCTAATTTTATATAGCTTACACCTAGCAGCAAAACAAAGTGTTGATCGCCATTTTTTATTAACTTTAATGTTTACACGGTCAGTTCGAAATAAAAACAACTGTATTGGCCTGTAAACATGACAGGCGTAATTCAATTTTAGTTTTCATTATTTTATTTTACCCCAACCGATATTTGCAATTTTCTTGCGGAAATTGAAAATCCTGCTTGCATGTGGAAAGTCGGACTACCCTTCTTCGATTGCAGGCAGTAAATTACTTTGCGGTCAGGACTAAAGCCCCCAAATTAACTTAAGCCATCGTTACATAATCCCTCAGATTTTGGGCCATCAAAATAATTGAGCTGCCCATGTGTGTGTGTGTGTGTGTGCTTATGTGTACGAAAGCTGAATTTAATTCAATTTTATTCAAATTGCTGTCGGAAAATTGCCGACACCGGAGCAACAGGGCAACATGGTCAGTGAAAATCATATTTTTATGCTCGCACCGCGTTCGAAGGCAGGCCCAGTGTAATTTCATTCCATAAATTTCCACTTAATTAGCGGTCAGCCGGGGTTACCCCCCCCGCAAATCACCTCCCCACAACGCCATCACCTGACCGTCATGGTCAGCAATTTATGCTTAAATTTCCGCTGCACATTTTTCAAGGCGATTGCGTACACGCTTTTCAACTTCCACTTAACCTATCCCGTAATTTATGCTAATTTACGCTATTTTCCTTACATATCCGATCCGAAGCCGACGGCTCTGCCTCCGCCTTTCTGACTCACTTTATATGGGCGTGGTCGGTTGTGGCGTGACGTGTCGTATATATAAAATATATCGAGCAGATTATTCTCACTGCAACAGTGTAACCGAAATTGTCATGCAAAAGTTGCGAATTATGGGGTGTGCGAAAAGCACCAGGAAAAGTACACTCTGGGAAAATCGTTTTGAACATAAAATTCAAAGGTTATGGGCTTTGAAAACCAGGTAACAAGCTGTGTTCTTAATTAGCTTAAACACGGGCCCAAAAGTAATGGCTTTTGAAACTAATTTTTTACATAAATAAAACAAATAAAGCCTCGAATAACGAGTATTTTTAATCTCTTCTTTTAACTGTTGTAACAAACACACCTCTTCTTCATAATTTATATAGATTTATAAGCAAGTGAAAAAAGTATTTAACTTTAAAGCTAGGAGCATTGGTGTTAGTTTAAAAAACAAAAGAATTTAGTTAATGAGTACAATCTTTATTTTTTCTGAGTGCATATACCTCAAAAAAAAAAAAACCAAAAAAACAAAAACACAGAAAAGGAAAAACGCGACGAGGCCAAAGTGGAATCAAATTAGTTGGACAGGCGGCTCGGAAAATTTATTTCACGCACCTTGGACTACTTAGAGGCGTTGTCATCGGTCAGCGGGAAAAAACGAGTTTCCCAGCCAACATTAGCACACGCACTTGCCAAGTCTCGAGATGCCGACGACACCTACAACAAATTCAACAAATTCAACAACACCCATAAAATTCAATAGCCACGATGTCAACAGCAATCGATGCCGGCCGGCCAAGAGATATACTATATATCCACATACATATGCACACTTATATACATAATAAAAAATAAATGCATTAAAAATCGAAAATCCCAACCCGTTCAAAGTGGCACAAGCAACGGTACTCACACACGCACAACAAACGGGCACACACTGTTGCAACACGACAACTTTTCTATCACTCGCACTTAATTCATTTTGATTTCAGTGCAAAGTGGAAATTTATTTGCATAAATTAAAATACAGAAAAATGGAAAACAAGCGAGAAAAATAAAAAATATATATGTGTATTTCACATGCAACTATGTAAGTCCCTCCACCGCAATCCCCCCTCCCTCAACATGTCTATATGTATTCGTATTCATGACAAGTTGCCGGTCGGTCGCTCTAGGCCCGTTATGTTGCTCATTGCTGGTTGCTAGTTGCTCGTTGCTGGTTGCCTGTTGTTGCTGCTGTTGTTTTGATGTTGCTTGTGGGTTATTGCTGCTGCCGCTGTCATTGCCACACCAGAAAGACAGAGACAGCAATGCACAGAGGGAGACAGAGCACCGCTGTCGAGGCTGTTGCATAAATAGAAAATTTATTTATTGATTACGCCTTGTGAATTCCTATATAAACAATTTCTAGGTTTGGTAAGTGCTTAAAGCACTAAATGATCTTTGGGCGAGCTTTCATTTCGAGTGCTAGTGATTTTTAACTTTTTAGTTGCCTATAACGTTTCATAAGTGGCTATTAAAATTAAAGAGTACAAATAGACAAATTAAACCTAAAAGAGAGATAGATTTGAGTAGATTTTTAAACCGGAAGGAATATATGTTGGTGTTTTAAAAGGGATAGCTATATATAGAAGTTAGGTTGACGAAAATGAGAAAATCGGAATAAAATTTCGTCTAAATAAAAACAAACCATTGTTTATTTCTGCTCGATTTCGTTGGCTTAAAGCCCGCAAAGTTACCCTTGTTTGATCAATGACATTGCAATCGCTCATTGCGAATTGGACACTTCATTTTGGACTTCCGCAAAGCTTCGGCCTTGAGCAATTGGAATAGGAAGCCACAATCACAATGCAGTAGCAAACAGAGAAAATGTTAATAAAAAGACGGTGTGAAAACGACAACACAGAAGCACGGCAAACGAAGACGAGGAATTGCAAACGCAAACAGCATTTTGCACATTGTTAGCAAGCTAAAAGAGGCATGCAACTAATCATTAGAAGCTTGTTTTCCAATTTGTTGCTGCCGGCTATTATTGTTGCCGAGTTTCAATGTCAATTTGAATTAATTAATAGAGAAACCGACATGAAAGAGGCAGACAAATGATTGAACGCAACGCACACACGTACACACCCATCTGAGAATGAAAATGTAAAAAAAAACAAAAGATGCAACGCAACCGAGCGTAACAAATCCCCCGAGATGGGAGTGTTTGGCCCCTCCAAGTCGTAATGGAAATTATCATTCAACAAACGATATCAACAATAAAAGCCATGACAACAGCATTATCGCCAGCATCAACACCAACCGTTTCAGTTGTATTTTTAATGATTTCCATAGAAGTGAAAATGGCAAAAACTGAAATCGTTTGGGCGAACATACATAAAGGCACAGATACAGTCGCAGATACTGAGATACAGATGCAGATACAAGTTGCATATGCTGTCGCCTTCCCTGCCACGCCCTCACACCCCCTTCGCCCACATAAACGGATTGCATGTGAACAATGTGTAAATAGTTTTAGCAGCGAGCAAAAAATATCATCATCATGTAAGAGATATCAATTTGTTAGCACCCAGCAGCAGATGCAACCAACTTCAACTGACGGACATCCCATGCATCCGCCCCTTGAGAAGTGTACATTACAATGTTTATCAGGCCATGTTCAGCCATGAAGCTTTGATTATGGCATTTTAATCAGACGGAAGGAGAAGCTCGTGGAATGCATAGCTATAGTTGATAGACTCCACTCCAATGAAAACTCAATTTAGGGCAATTGGCAATTAATTAATGAGACGTTGGAAGTTCTGCTATTCAAAATACATCATTGGATTTAGTTTTCTAATTAAGTGCTAGCTTTAGAAGGTTTCGTTACGGTTACACGGTTATACGTTACGCACAATTTTTTATTTAGCAGATTTAAAATGGTATCTTTAGCTTCATTTGGAAATGCAAAGCATAAATTGAAAAAACGCACTCTCTGTGATTTAGTTACCAATTACTTTAAAAACTGAAAGCTTAGTAATTATTGAATTCAAAATTGTATGTTTAAATTAATTAATGAATATCCGCATTAAATTTAATGCATGTCCAATTGCACGATTAAATATCAAAACATTTTAATTATTGTGTAACAAATTTAATGTAAAATATTTCATATTTTATTCAAAAGCATTTTGTTTAAACTAAATGAAAAACAAATGAAAAATCAAATAAGTGGCAGTACTTTCATATTTAAAATAACTAAAAACCGCAATGGATGAAAACCAAAGCTAATATAATAATAATTGGGTACAAAATAATTGGCAGTTCTCATGAGTTGGGCCGTCATTAATATTATTTGATTTCGTTTTCTATTCGAATTTCAGTAATTTCAGCTGCACTGAATTGCAATTTGCTGATTTTCAGAATTTTTCTGATCCTAGTATGGAAAGGTTTAATCACATTCACATTTGAAATTAGATTAGGTTACCAATTATTTTGTTTATCTAATTTTAATGGTTTTCCCCCTTTTCTTTGCAGGTACGTTTTGATGGCAATGCATGCTGGCAACTTAAAACGGTAAATAAAACAAGAACAGACATTTGCGATGGAGTGATCTGCCTTTCAACTCGGCTTAATTCCAATGCTCGCTACCAATCCGTTCATCAGCAGGGACGTCGCTCATCTCATACCCATACCCTCATATTCACGTATCTAAGCAACAATAATTGCCAGTTGAGCCGCGTCGAGTGGAGCTGTAAGCTTCTTTTCCCCACGACCAGCTCGACTGCACGTTGCAACGGAGTTGCTCGGAGTTGCTCGGAGTGGCAACAAAATGATTTACAAAAGATAACAGAAATGGCTCGCTTCTCGTATGTATGTTGGCCTACAAAATTCGAGAAAAGGAAAATAAAAATCATGGAAAATACATTGAGAGCGGTTAATGTTGTGGTTCCTCCTCAGCCACCCCGTTGCCACCAGTTTTGCAGTCGGCAGCTAATGGTTCTGTGCATTGTTTTTGTGGTTGCAGCAGGCCCCACCTCTGATGCACTTTGAAATGATTTTCCAAAGCTCGGCCACAGCCCCAAGAAAGCAGCACACAGAGCCAAACCGAAAAGCGAAGCGTTAAAAATTCAACTTGAAATTACTTGTGCTGTTTTTTTGTTCCATTGCCCCTGCTGATGATGCTCGTAAGTCTTGGCAACATTACTTAGCCAAAGTCGGAGTGCGGAAAATGGCCAAAGAATTTCCCTCAAACGTGAGAATGGTGGCGAAATAATGGAAGACGATTTTTGTGGCATTTGTTTTTCCAAAGGAAATTGATTTCCAATACCAGAAATAAAAGTTTGTGTGGAAAGGCATTTCGCCAAGTCTCGAACTTGTTGAATGAAGATGTATGTTCCTGCGTTTGCCAACACATTTTCTGTTGTTTTCTGTTTTTAGTTTTCTGTTTTTTGTTTTTTGTTTTCTGGCGACCAATCCCCATTTCTTTCACAAGCCAAGTTGGCCGAGGTTAAACGCTGCGTTTGCCGGCAAACAACATGATGCCTGATCATCAACATTAAAGCCAAGTGCCTGGCCCATGGCTCTTTGCTTTTGCTATTGCTGTGGCCCCTTTTCTCCCCTTGATAAATGCAGCTAACCTATATTTTAGCTCTCTGCATGGCTGAAATGGCGTTGTGAAAAACATTATTAACCGATTTTTATTGCATTCTACTTTGGCCGTGGCTGCGACTGCGACTGTTGCTGTTGCTGTGGCTTCAGCTGGTCCAAAGGCATTTGGAGGCGGTTAACTGGCCATTAAGGGGCGTTCCTAATGTATCTCGATGCCAAGATGGAGAGCCCGGCCAAAAGGCAGGCCTTAGCCAGGTTGCAACGCATCGTCTCGAACTCGAACAACATCCTCGTCTTTGCCTTTGTCTTCGTCTTCATCTTCATCCTCACTTGGCAGCCTTTAGTTTTAGTGGCATTTCAGCTGCCAGTTTGTGCTGCCGGCTACATGCGAATTTTCCTTGCCTGGCATTTGGCCGCTTGTCTTTGGTGGGCTGAGCCTTACTCGTAAAATCATAAAACAAATTAATTGGCACTGCCGTGTGCAGAGGGTATGTGTTTTGCCAGCCAAACAGCCTTTGTCCTTGCCATTTTCGAGTTTATTTCAGTTTTTCAGTTTTCAGTTTTCCAGTTCTTTAGTTTGTTTTAGCTTTTCAGTTATTCCATGGCGCGGTTTCCGCTTAGCTAATTTGCAATGCAGTTTGCTCTTTTCGCTGTTGTTTTGAGGTTCTGTCTGGTTTTTGTCTTTTTGTGTTCTGCTCGGTTTTGAGGCCACTTTTGAATGCAACTCGTCGATTGCTGAATCGGTTTTGTGTGTCGCACTTTTGGTTTCTGGTTTATTTAATGACTTTTTGCAATTGTTTTCGTGAGCGGATTTTCAAAATTGGTTCCACTGAGCTTGGCAGCGGCTTTTAGTTCGTTTTGCCTTTGCTTTTTGCCTTTTTGCAGCTCAAGGTTAAGTGGCATTCGATTCGTTATTGCAAGAAATAAAAGCTGCACCCCTTGCCGCGATTTTGGCTTTATGGTACAATTTCATTGAGCTGCTAATAAGTGCTGCTGCTGCCGATTGTTTATGAGCTTTAAATGTGGGCTGTGGTTGTGCGGCCCCGAAATGTCGAGCGAAAATTGCCAGGCTCTGGTCCACGGGGCGTATGCGCAATGTGCTGCGAGTACGAGTGCGAGTCATTAGAAGTTGGCTTATTGGCTTCATTAGCCGAGCCCTGCACGACACTTGATCGATGGCTCCAGGCCACAAGCCATCATTAGCCATATGGCAATTTATATGCTGGCCGGGGATCTCATGATCTTGCGAACGCGAACGATCTCAATCCGTTGTTTGTCTTATGAAAAGTTCACAGATTAATCGAACTCATTGATCAACATTGGAACGGAGCGATAGTAAATGATTTTATAACAAAGCATCCATCAAATTTGTTATCTTCCGTTGACTTATCGTGATCTTTGCCGGTGGATAATCGCTCTGAATTTTCCATTGTTGCCCAACCTCCCACTCTGCTGAAAGCAATTTGCCGCCGACTGCACTTAACTGCACAGCAAATTAAGTGAACAACTTTAAGGGATAATACTATACAATTTATTACTACTTTTGTGTATCCACTCACACAAATGTAGTGATTAATGTTAACATTAGTAATGCCAATTTTGTATCTTACACACATTTATCATAGAATATAATACAATAATACATTAAAAGCAATTTGAATATCAACAGTTCCCTTCATTTGTCTTTTGAGTTTTAATAATACACATTTTTGATTTATTACTTGGAACTTAATCAGGGGTATTAATTACACTCAAAATGTATATTAATCAGTTTTATCATTAAATTTATGATAGTTAAGCATTGTTTTGAAGGTTAATCTAAGTTTTCTTGAATATAACCAAAATGACTTTAAAATACATTTTATGACAAATTTGAAAACAACAATAAATATTTAAATGACTGAAAACTATAAATATTCAAGTAGAATCTCGATGTTGTGGTCGTTTTTTCTCTGTGTAGCAATTGCATTGCCATTGCCTTTGCCTTTGCCATTGGCATTGGCTTTACTTCGACATCCCATCTGAAGCCAGCTCTCGAGCAATTTACGCATTTCATTTGATTTCAGACATTGCAACGTTGTCGTCGTCGTTGTTGCTCGTACTGTTGGTGTTGGTGTTGCTGTTGCTGTTGGTGTTGCCATTGTTGTTGACGATGGCGACCTTCCTTGTTACCAATGTGCCATGGCGAAATTAACGGCAATTAACTTGATTCGCTTTTGTTTCCATTTGGCCCTCCCCTGCCTTGACTGGCAATGCATTTTTCTTGCTGTCTCCTTGCCATTTTTTTTTTTTTTTTGCGATGTTTTTACCGCTCAGCAAGGCAACAACGGCGACAACAACAACGGGCATGAGGTAATAATTTACGAAATTGACAAGTGAATCATTCAGCGGTGCTGTAGGAGGTGGAGTGGGCATGACGACTAAGCAGAAAATTAACGAGTAATTAGAAGTTCCTCCCAATGGCAGCCAAAGCGGCATCATCTTTATTGTTTCAGTTAACTCGCCTTCTCTGGGGGCGTAAGGTTGAGTTGAGGAAGTGTCGCCACTTAGTGGCGTTTTGTTTGCTTTTTATTCGCCCGCGTTTGGTCTCTTTGTTTGGCCAGGCATTGATTAATGAGCTGCGTCCGCCTGGTGGCATTGACTTTGATGTGGCAACGATATATAGAAGTATTTCCCGCCGAGTGCAGCTCAATATCAAAGTCATACGTACACACCTTACCCGGTTTGCATGTTGTTCGCGATCGACAAGCGGCTGATTAGCCTCGAACACGCCGAGGATACCACAAATATGGCAGCCAGCTTGTCGACCATATCACGATGTGGCAACACAATTGCCAATGCAGTGATCGCAACAAGGAAATATGGATGTTCATTCTGGCGTTTTGTTCGCAAATCAGCTTAGCAGATCTCTCGGTTCTAATACTGATCTGCGGGTGAAGTTCACCTGCGGGCAGCAATTACCTTGATGATCACTCTGTTGATCCTTAACTCCGTTAGCTGATTTGTATTCCAAACGATGTTGGCCACAAGCTTATCTTTTAGTTTAACGAAAAGAAAATATTGAAGTCTAGTTTACTAGGCAAAAGCCTTAATTTTAAACCATTTAGCAGTAACTCTAAGAGAACATAATTTATATAAAGTCTTTTCTCATATATTTTCCCTCGTAATTGTTTATGTGTTTGTTTTTTAAAATGCAATGGTTTTTTTATATTTTATTCAATTTATATTTATTTATTAATTGGTTTCTTTTGCCATCCATCGTTTTGTATAACCTTCATTTTAGACAGTAGTTCTTTGTCATACAAGATTTTCTTAAAAGTCATTTAGTATAAGTTGTAAGAAAAAAACATTTAAATTTAAAACATAAAATAAAAACATTTAAAGCATACAAGAATTTTGTTAGGAAATCTCCACTCTCAGCCAAGTGAATGTTCCCATCGCATCCCAAATCCATCACTTTTAATTCGAGTCACTTAATTCCCACTTAATAAATATTAAACAGAGTTAACCTTATTTGGGCACAGGCGATCAAAGCGAGAGCCACACAAATTGTTTGTGACTAATTTACACAATGAAAGGTCATTGTTTCCACTTCAATTAGCCTTTTACTCGGCGGCTAAAACAGAAGCGCTTGCACTGGCTGTTGTTTTTTGGCCCGGCCGCTGACCAAATCGGAGTGCGTTTAATGCTCGATGTGTCTCGTCGACTTGATGACTCGCATCTCGCCTCTCGACTCTCGAATTTCGAATCTCGACTGCCGACTGTTTACTGTTGACTGTTGACAATCGGACAACTTGAGCCGACACTCAGTGGAGTCGGCGGACTTATGACAACAAAGTAGCCAAGAGTTGCAGCGGATTGCATAAAATGCCAAATTGTCTGGCCCAAAGAGCAGCTAACAGCTAACAACAAACGAGGAATGGCCAAATTTGGAGCTGCCAAGTGGAAAATGCAAGCCGAGCTTC